GTCAAGAGAATAAAGAGAGAAGCCACAGACTGACAGAAAATGTGTGCAAAGGACATATCTGATAAAGAACTGTTATCCAAAATAAACAAAGACTTTTAAAACTCAGCAATAAGAAAACAAACCCATCAAAACTGTGCCAAAACCTTCATGCACATCTCACCCAAGAAGAAGTGCAGATGGCAAATAAGCCCATGAAAAGATGCTCTATATCATAAGTCATGAGGAAAATGAAAGAATGAGATGCTACTACACAACTATTCCAGTGGCTAAAATCCAGGACATTGGTGATATCCAACACTGGAAAGAATGTCAAGCTACAGTAACACTCATTTATTACTGGCTGAAATGCAAAATGATATAGATAATTTAAAGGCAGCATGATGATTTCTTTCTTTTAAAACTAAACATATTCTTACTATCTGACCCAAGAATCACATTCCTTGGTATACACAAAATAATTTAAAACATGTCTATACTTACATTTCCATATAAAACTTGAAAGCAACCAAGATATCTTTCAGAGGTGAACAAATTGTGTTATATCTGGACAATGAAATAGTATTCAGCACAAAAAGGAATGTACTTCAAGCCTTAAAATGCATGGAGGAATCAATAAGTGAATGAAGTCAACATGAAAAGTTTCGACTCCGACTCTTTCCATTGTGGAAAGGGCAAAATTATGGTTATTATTAAAAAAAAATCAGTGATAGGCAAGGGTTAGGGAATGGAAGGATGAACATGGAGGATTTTTAGGACAGGGTAACTACTTTGCATGATAATATAATGGTGTTTACATGTCATTATACATTTGTCTAATCCCATAGAATACATAACGTGTGTAAACCCTATGTGAAATACAGATTTAGACGAGTATGAGTTATTGTTGGTTCATGATCTCTCACAAATGTACCATTCTTGCAGGAAATGTAGGTAATGGCGAGGGGGTTGGAAAGAGTATATATGAGAAAGCTCTGAAATTTTACTCAGTTATGCTGTAAACATAAAACTGCTATAAAAATAAAACCTATTTAGGCAATTTGTACACATGCATACACATACAAACATGGAACTGGCATAGACCTATTGTCAACTTAACAGTAAACTGTTTAAGTCTACATTTCTGCTTCCCAGTTAAATTTTTAGCTATTTTTACCTAGAGATGCCTTGATATTTAGTATGACAGAACTTTACCCATAAGGAGTATGTAGTCACAAACTGTATCTGAAAATATTTGTTCCTAAAATGACAACAGAATTTTAGTTATTCAGAGCAAGCTATAAGCATGAACTACTAAGGTCAGTGAAATCATTGTATCCGATAATTTTATAAAGCCATTGACCATTCCAAGCAATCCTTTATTAGCTGTCATTATTTACATGAATAGTGCACATACCCTTTAATTCTGATGTTTTGTTCAACCCCTTTTCTCCAAAGCAATATCTACTGCTGGAGTCCAACTATTAGCAATTCATCTCAAGTCCTCAATATAACCTTGGTCTTGAGAGTTGTACAGATGAACTACACAATAATCTATTATTTTTCCTGTGCCTGTAACTGCATTCCTCTAAGTGAGCTCTACAATAGACCTCAATACATATTTTGGTTACACAGCACTATAAGTGATCATGTCTTCTCAATAAGATGGACACTGCTCCATTTCTTTTAACAATGATAATTAACACTTACACAGCAATTTTCACTTGCTATAACTGTGGTCATTCTGCTTATAGTATCTGATCTCCTCCAGCCCCACAAATAGCTATGCAGAATCTTCTGTGTTTGTGGCATCCTGCTAAACAACTAAAAGAACTATTATTCTCTGAGCTTGCAATCATCTCAACCCAGCAGGGAAAATTTCTCTGGCCACGAAGCCTAGTGCCCACGTTACTTACAATCACTGTTGATGCTCATACCTTCAGGCCTTTAATCCCTGTTATCATTGCCACATAAGAAGAATGCAAATTGCTTACCCTTCTCAATAGTTTTTACTCTATGGCATCAAACTGTGCCTATAATTTTCTGTAATTTGTGACCCATGACTGTTCTCTTCTTCAACTTTTCTTGCTGAAATTGCTTATCTACATTCACCAACACCCCTTTACATTACTAGTCTCTTAATTCCTTTCCTCTAATTGCAATTGAAACCTAAATTTTGTCTGAAAAATTAATTTTTCTACCTTTAAAAATTATTCTTTTTCTGGTGCGGTGGCGCATGCCTGTAATCTTAGTGGTTTGGGAGGCTGTGACAGGAGGATTATGAGTTCAAAGCCAGCCTCAGCAATGATAAGGTGCTATGCAACTCATTGAGAGCCTGTCTCTAAATAAAATACAAAATAGAAGTGGGGATGTGGCTCAGTGGCCAAGTGCCCCCAAGTTCAATTCCTGGTAAACACCCCCCCCCCCCAAAATTATTTTTTGGAAGATTTAATCCGGAGGTGCTTTACCACTGAGTGACACCCTCAATCTCCAGCCTTTTTTCTTCTTTTCTTCTTATTTTGAGACAAAGTCTTGCTAACTGCTTAGAGCCTAAGCTGCTGAGGCTGGCCTCAAACTTGTGATCCTTCTGCCTCAGTCTTTTGAGTGGCTAGGATGACAGGCTCTTGTGAAAAATCTTGTTAATTTAAAATTTATATCATTGATACTGTGGTAAAGATTACTAAAAATCCATTTTCTCTTTTCTCTTATAGTCACTAAGCATCCATTTCTCAGATACTCTTGCAAGAAGATGTGGTTATATTATTAAGGTATAGATAATAGAATGCTAATTTAAAAAAAATGTGATGTGAGCCCTTTTAGACCAAGTCTCTTATGGAATCGATGGGCATCCACTGTGTTTTCTTCATTTGTCTACTGGCTAGATACAGATGAGAAGTAACCTATTGATATTGAAACCCAACAATAGAAGGAAACTTGGATCCTCGATTCAGTACTTGGAAGAAAGCTAATCATCTGCGAACCAGGAATACCTGCCATGGACAGGGGAAAATAGTAGCAGTAAACAAATTGCTATTGTGATTGAACCATGAAAATTGTGGGCTCTCCCTTTTGAAGCAACTGGTATTGCCCTTGTCTGCATGTAACAAACCCTTCTCATTGCTGTCTTTTGACTCTGGTATAGTCCATCTCATTTACTGGAGACTGTGACACAGAATAAGCAATTTTTCTCCCTATTTAACCCCAATGTCATCACGAGCAACTCTGCTTGACAACCTATCACAAACCATTGCCCTCTCACATCCTTGACCTCTAGTTTCAAATTGTTTCCTCCTTAACCTCAACTTCATTATTCACCTTCAAAACATAGTTCGGAAACTGTCAACGCCTATAACTCCTCTTTCTTCAAAATCATTAATCAGATTTGCACATTACCACAGTCTCCTACCCATGTCACCAATTTGTTCAAGTAGTTCTGTCATGGCTATTAATTGATTTCATCCTTTCTTCATTGCCTTCCACACCTACCTTACATTCCATGGTACTTCATGTAAATACTATTCTGATTTTCATTACCTTTCTGAGTTTCAATCACATCTACCCAGTGAAAACCCAAACCTGCAGGAATTTAGCTGTTTGCCTTTCCTCTGATGTAATATCTAGAAAAAAGAGCACTAATGAACAAGACACAACATGGAAGACCATGTATAAATATGCAGTCACTAATCTCTAATTAACCTTCAATACATTCAGTAATATAAAGACCAAACTGACATCTCCTCTCAAATATGTCAAAGGCATGCCAAAAGAACATTTCCACAACTCATATAGTATACATTTACTACAAATATGTTCTTTCAGCACTATCTCAATAAGTAGCTTACCCCTTAGTTAAATATGCAAACAAAACTTGCAGACATTCTTGATCATCTCCTCCTTACAATTTCCAACATTAATCCCTTTTCAATACTTGTTGATAGTACTTCCTAACAGTCTATAAACTTTACCCCATATTTCCTGTCATCACTTTAGCTCAAAATAATATCAGATTGCCTGGAGTAGTTCTTACAATACTTGCAATTTTATTTAAGAATTATTATCTGGTTATTATCTGTATGCTTACTAGACTGTAAGCTCTGTTCATTTTCATTATTTTTATATGCAGCATTTTGCAATTTTTTCTTTCCTTATAATGACTTGATAGATATTTGCTGAATAAATGGTAAATGGCAAAATTAATAAAAGTAAATAAATATCATAATTATTATCACAATTATCATATACATATATGAAGAAAGTAATCATGTAAGAAAAAAAAACAGAGCATAAAAAACCTGGATCCAAATTTACATCTCTTCAATTTCAATGACTCCAACTCCTGAGTATATTTTCATTCGTGAACTGTGATGCATATTGAACTTTATGGAAAGCTCTTATTTTATTAATTATAATAAAAACTCACATTTATCTCTTTTAATACAATTATCTACATATTCAGAAAATAATGTGCCTTAAAAAGTGCACTGAAAATAGTCTAAAAAGAAATATTTTAATTTTGTAAATGGAAATGTTTATGAGCTCACACTCCAAATTATGATTGATACCAAAATGTATCCAAAGTATATCATGCTAGAGGAAAAGGGATTAGAGCATAAAATAAGACAAACTGACATTTTAACGGTTGTTTTCTAACATTAATTAATTTTGCCAAGTTGTAGATACTGCACTAATAAATTTATATGTGCTGTAAAATAGAAACCATTATTATCCCAATTTTACAGATAAGAAAATAGAGAATTAGAGGAAACAATCAAAGCCAGGAGTCAAATCTAACTTGTATAGGATTCCAGAAGCACTTAACATTAAATTGTCTTCCAAAGAAGTAGTTAAGTCTTTCATTTTGAGTCATTACTTAGTGAAAAATGGACTAAAACTTTTTTTTTTAGTTCTAATAGCATTTGATAATGAGACATTTTAATTATAATCAGATGGGAAAAGAAAACAGTATGTACATTATAAAACTTAGCTTTTCCAGGATATTTAAGGAGCAAATTGTTTAGTCTTACCCATGAATTCAATCCCCAAGTGGTCTGCTACACCGAAGTCAGCATGGGAAGAAAGGAAACAGGAAAAGAGAAAAAGGTTAGAAAGAAATCCACATAAGAAAATCAGTGCTTACAAGACTGACCTTCCAAGGCTAGGAATGTGTCTCAAGTTTAACCACGTTTTTTTCAGAAATGTAAATTTCAGATATTGATCAACATTTCCCAAAGTCACTGAACTACAGCTTGGAATTTCAGATGGAATAATTATGCATCAGTTACATAGCATACTAAATATAAATTAAGTGAATAAAATGGAGAGAGAGAAACTATGTAAATAAAACATACCTCACACTAATGTTATTTGCTGAATCTATCATATTCTATGTAGATTAACTACTTGTTCAACATTAACACATTTGGAACTCTGGGATAATAAGAATGACATGACCCTAACCAAGCAATGACAAGCCCTAACTAGGTGATCTGCACATCAACAAAACAGGAATGCTGGACTGAGGAATATAGCTCAGTTGGTAGAGTGCTTGCCTTGTATGCACAAGGCCTTGGGTTAAATCCCCAGCACCAAAAAAAAAAAGAAAAAGAAAGAAAGTAATGCTATTAGACTTTTTATGATCATTTTTTAATTTGCCTCATGAGGAACCTATTATGGTTAAGACTAAAAAGTTCACAAAGTTTCAGGCAGATCTTGGGCACAAATCCAGTGCTTCTGACCCTCAAGACCCAGGACTACTCAACTTGACAGCCCCATTCTGTTGAAAACACATGGCCGATGTGTTTACTTCTATTCTCTGTGCTTGTGGATAGTGGAGAGTTTCAACAAACCAAAGTACACTTATGATGAGCAGGTTAATGAAGTGCACTGGGTAAAACCTTATTTATTTAAATGGTGCTTGCTTTCTTTTAATCTTCCTATTTTGTACTTATTTGATTTTTATGTTTATCACATTACTTGTTTTCTATTGCAGTAATATTTATCTGAAATAAGTGGGAAAAAGTATTTATGTGACTATTTGCTCCTAAGACAACTGAACATTTTATGAATTCTGTTCAGCAAATAAGCATTTCCATTTTAAAAAAGTAGTTTCCTTTGAATATTTAAATACTTCTCCTGTTTATCACTAGTTCACTTTTAATTTTTTTGTGCTGAAATATGTATGTACCATAAAATTTGCCATCTTCACCATTGTAAGCACATTATCCAGAGGTGTTAACTATATGCACAATGCTTCACGATCACCACCACTATATTTCCAAGATTTTTCCATTGCCCCAATCAAAATCTCTGTATCTCTTTTCCCTTGTCTACCACCCCTGGAAATCTCTACTCTACTTTCTGTCTCTGATGAGCCAATATGCCAACAAAAATCTAATTTTTAACTTATTAGAACCTATTTCCATTGAGAAATGTCTGCTTTTACAAAGAAAGATGGTGATTGTTTCTAAAAGAGATGCAGCCCTTTCTTGGCACAATGTTTTTCAACTGGCTGCTCTCTGCTGATGTATACTATGATCCACACCTGGCACATTTTCATGAGCAGGCAGATTCTCATTCTCATTGAGTTTAGAAATCAGTTGAAGACCACAGAGAAAAACCTCTGGTCATTCTTTGCAATAAGTATTATAATGGAAAAAAAGAAAATGTGCCTTGACTGGAGAGGTGAGGGACTCATAAGCTTGTTCCTGGGAGGGAGAGAATGTGCAATACAAAAGAATTGGTTTTGTGGAAATACTGACAAGAACATGTTGTGTTCTTGTACAAATTGGAAGCTTCGGGACTCTGTGCACATAAAACTTTGAAGAAATGCTCAAGTTGTAGTATTTAAAAATAAGGATTTGGATGATATTACTTGTTATAAGACTAAAGATAAGGAAGAAAAGAAGACTGAATAAAAGGAAAATTTTATTCAGAAGCAAAAGAACAGAAAAGAAATCAAGAGAGGGCTATTTATAGGAAATCAGGGAGCAAAACACCCCAAATACTTGACCACAGACGTTGGTCCATTCAGCTGGGTAGTCAAAGAGTCACTAATCTCAGGCTGGTTGAATAAGAACTTTCCAGTGAATCAGATTTTTCTGGCAAGGGAACTAATGACTATTTTTCATTCTTCCATGACCTTCACCATTTCACCTCTGTGTATAACAGGACATGGAGAATTGGGATTTTGTGAATGTGTAGATTATATTAAAAGTGAGAAGTATATTTGATAAATCAGAGGCCAATCTGAACAGCTTATAGGCACATTGAATTCGTGATAGTAGCAAAGACATTAACTGGAATGGAAAATTACTCAAACACTGAAAGGTAAAAGTAGATATCTTGAGAAAAAAGAGAACTGCCCTTGTTGTTTTTGTTGTTACCAGCACTGAACCCAGGGGCAATGAACAACAGAGCCACTGTTGGGGAATTCTTTTTATTTTTTATTTTGAGAAAGTTGTTTAGGGTCTCCCTAAGTTACTGAGACTGGCTTTGAGCTGGTGATCTCCCTGCCTCAGCCTCACAAGCTGCTGGGATTTCAGGTGTGTGCCACTGCACCCAACCTGTCTTAATATAAAAATTACATGAGGTTATTGGAGCTGTAATGGCTTCAATAATATAAAAATTACATCTGATTAATGGAGCAAGGTGGCATTTATATTATTGGACATTAAAGGGAAATTATTTACTAAGTTCTATAATGGCTTATTCATGGAAGCTGACATCACTGAACATATAAATTCATTTGGTAAACACTGTGCTACTATTACAGATTTGAAGACACTGATAGGTTATGGCTCACACAGAAGGATCATGAAAATCCATGAAGAACAGATGACAAAATAAATTAATTTGTTATGTGAATCATATGCTGAACACAAACCACAATTTCACAGAACCCTTCACTTGCTATTTTTCAAACCAAAAACCTGCCTGATGATATTCAGGCCAGCAGCACAACTTCAAGAGGAATGAAAGGAGAAGTAATCTTTTATAGTTCTTTTATTCATTTACTAAACAAATTATATGCCAAGAACTGAATCAATACTGGGTTGGAAGAGAAGACACACAACTTAAGCAAAGTCCATTTGATTTTCCATACAGCATGCATAGTTTCCACTTTTCAACACAACTTTGGGTTATCTAGCTGTGAATAACATTTACTAAGCACTTATTATGTACTAGGAACTGCTTTAAGTAGTATCTCACAGTAACTTATGAGATTGTCACTGCACACACTTTACAGGTGATGAACAGATGTACAGAGAGGTGAACCAACTTTTCCCAATCCAATATGCTTGTAAGCAGTGGGAACATGATTGAGCCTAAGCAGCTTGACTCAACCGCCAATTATACTCAGAGTTCACATATGCCCTCCCTGTGAAAAATCATCTAGTGTTTAGAAAGTCATCAGGTAATTGGCTCTTCAGGGAGGAATAATTTAATCCACTTAAGAGAACAAGTTGTTCTCAAGAATCCTCAGGCACAGTTGAAGCACCACTTAGTTACTTGCTTGGCCTTAGTTCATTGATAAAGTGCCAAAGGAGTCAAACAGGAAAATAGTTACTATTCATTCTTTAGTTACCAAGAAAATTTCTTCATGATGAAGCTGACCTATTTATTTTCACAACAGCAAATGATTAAAAAGATTTGTCTGAAATATTCCAAACGTTAATCCAAATAATTTTAAGTTTGGCATTATATTTAAAAAATACCAGCAGCTCTGCTGCAGATATGAAATATTCTTAAGGTGTCAGGACAAATGTAACTCATAATAAATATTGAACAACACATACCAAAGTTAGACAAAATGAATATTCTATAATGTCAGAATTTCTGGAATGCTAGAAACTCAAGCCCCAAATTATTCCTTTTTATACTTTTTTATCAAAGTTATATATATTTACGGTGTACAACATGATGTTTTAAAATAAGTAGCCTTGTTAAATGGCTAGTTTAAGCTAAGAAACATATGCTTACCCCATATATTAGCTTTTCTGTGTAATGAGAATGCTTAAACTCTACTAGTATGAATTGTCAAGTACAATCTGTTGTTATTAATCATGTCACCACATTGTACAACAGATCTTGACTTATTCTACATCTAGCTGAAATTTGAGGTTCTCACATATTTCTGAAGTGTGCAGCATTCAAAACCCTTGAGCAATTTAAAACCTGTTCTTTGTCTGCTGATGGATAATGAGAGGCTACCTGAAATTCCCCCAGAGTAGGCAGACTGAGAAAAAGCAAGCAAAAACAATCCTGGATTCAATTCCAAACTCAGTGCGACACAGTGCAGGATCAAACTGGAGGAATGTGGCTTTCAGCACCAATTTTGTGTTAAAAGTAACTTAAGGCAACTCTGTCATAGAAGAGTCCCAAATGTGATCATGTAAACCACTGTTCCAAGGGACGTGGAAAAACATGTTACATGAAAGTCTGTAGATCTGTATCTTAAAAGGTTAAAATACTGGCTTAATGTTCAAAGAGCGGCTCCAATGCAAGAAATCCCCCAAAGTCTTCTGCTGTATGTGGTAGTGAGATTCCTGCTGGGAGTTCAGGAGGCAGCCTTTCCCAGCTTGAGGTAAATATTTGCATGGTCCTGTAGTACCCTGTGAGCCAGTGATCTGCAGTGCCCACTCTGGGAACTGCATGCCATAGAAGTGTGGAGCATATCACCCACTCCATTATAAAACATGTCGGTTATAAACGGTTTATCTTAATAATGGAACTGAAATCTGCCACTCTGTAGATTCCACCCACAGATCCCTATCAAATGAATTTTCTCTGGTGACACTCTGGGAAGAAGTCGTCCATCTTTAGAGAGAAGACGTTAGCTTTAGATGCATAAAGATAGTATGTTGGGTACTGAATATGTGCTGATCTTTAACACCCGAGTTCCTCATTCTCTAGTAGTTTCTAGAATCACTGGAAAGATCTGTAATTGTCTCTGGCTGCAACAGTGGATCCATGTATCCTTCTCCTAAATGAGATCATAGACAGAGTGATGAGATGTCATTTGTTGAGACATTGTCATGTATGTCCCCACCTG